AGGTGAGCCTTTTTAAATTTTTGCAACCGGAAGAGTGAGCTGTATTTAAACGTTCTCCAAAAGGGCGGGCGTTCAAGATGATGTTTGAACCCGGCAATTATTACAGACCCTCGGAGCAGTGGAAGGGGTCGACGGCGTCCGTACCCTCTCGACGAGCTCATCGCGGCGACCGAGGGCTTTGCCGAGGCGCGCAAGGTGGGCGAGGGAGGCTTTGGGCGCGTCTACCGCGCCGACGCGCTGCCGTCGCTTCCGCGCGTCGCTTGCGGGTTCGCCGTCAAGACGGCGCTGGTCGGTGTCGGCGCCCAAGGCCTCGCCGAGCTGCAGAGCGAGGTGCGCACGCTCAGCGCGGCGTGCCACCCGTCCCTCCTCCCTCTCCTCGGCGTCTGCCTGGCGCCGGCGAGAGCGTGCCTCGTCTACCCCCTCTGCCGCGGCGGCAGCCTCGAGGACCGCCTCTACCGCGCTCCAGCCGCACTGCAGCGGCTCCGCATGCTCGGCTTCGAGACGCCGCCTCCGCCGCTCTCCTCCGCCGCACGGCTCCGCGTGCTGCGCGACGCGGCGAGCGCGCTGCACTACCTGCACACGCTCTCTCCGATGATCCTGCACCGCGACGTCTCGGCGGGCAACATCCTGCTCGACGAGCGCGGCAACGGATACCTCGCAGACGTGGGCCTCGCGCGCGCGGCAGAGGCGACGGCCGGCGGACAGGTCTCGCACCTGTCGACGCAGCGTATCTTTGGCAAGCCCGGCTACATGGACTCGATCATCATGCACGACGGTCAGGCTTCGCAGCTCACCGATGGCTTTGCGCTCGGCATCACGCTGCTCGTCGCCCTGACCGGCCGCGGCGCTCTCGGCTTGCTCAACGCGTGCGACGATGCATTGGAGGAGCCCGACACGGCGGAGAGCATCGCGGCGGCCGACGCGGGCTGGTCGGCGGCGCAGGCCCAGGAGCTGGCGCGGCTCGTGGTCGGGCTGGCTCTCGTGAGGAAGAAGAGGCGGATGCCGCTCGCAGAGGCATTGCCGCGGCTGGAGGCGCTCGTCGAAGCGGCGGGGGAGGTGGAGGAGACGGCTGGGGCCGAGGAGCGCCTGTGTGACCTCTGCTGGGACGCGCCGCGTTCGGTCCGCTTCGCGTGCGGCCACGCGCTGTACTGCGAGGCGTGTGCGCCGCGCGTGCTGGAGCGCGACAGCAACTGCCCGGCCTGCCGCCAGCCGGCGCTGCCCATCGCCGCAACTGGGCGGCTGGTGGCGGCGCAGACGACGTTTGTCCACCAGCCGCCCTCGCGCCCCGCGCCCCAGGCTCAGCCTG